GATTATTATCTTTTTCATTTGCTGCAACACCATCTTAATTGGAAAATGTATGCAAATGTAGAAGGTGTTAAAGAGGACATCGACATGAATTTTGCTTCAAAGCCAAGTGATTTTTTTTAATCAGGCCATTAACAACCTTATTGTTAGATGGAAAAGCATCATCGATAAGAATAGAAACTATTTCATTTAATAATGTTTTGTTTTGATATATAAGTTCTTCAGGTTTTTTCCATCTAAGGAATAGCGACATTAATTTCATGACGACCTAATACTTCAATTGATAATAAAATTGAAACTGAACTTTGCAGAACACTTATTGTATTGATAATAAATTGACAAGCTTTACATGACATTGTTTTCAATTAAATAGGGAAAAAGTGTGTCAGCAAATCCTTAATACTATAACATTACATTTCCCATGAAGATTATCATGATTAAGTATATTTTATCAAATTAAGAAAAAGTTGCATTTAAAGATTTCAGTTAACATTACCTATCTTACTCATGGCTTCTTTCTCTTGTAATAATGCTAAGAATTTCTTTCAAACCTGGGTTAGAACATTTATGATGCAAGATAACAAATCAAGTTTTATCTAGATACTAAAAAAGTGTTAAAAATTTTGTTTTGTAATATTTTTTGTAAAATATTCATTTTCTTATAAGGTAATTTATATTTTAGTGACAAACAACAGTAAATGGAACAAACTGTCAGAATTGAGAGAAACTGAGAGAAAGTAGTTTAAACACATTTGTGTGTTTTCTTCAGTTTCACATTGTTGTCTGTCTTACCCAGGAGACAGAGTGAAGAGGACACACACGTGTATCAAAACTACATTCTCTAATATTAAGAATTCTGACAGTTTGTTCCATTTACTGTTGTTTGTCTCTAAAATATAAAAATGATATGTTCTTTTATTAATGGATATTTTCTTTTTCAGCTGGAAACTATCCAGTCCCAATTAGATTCCCTTCACTGAAAATCTTGGTTGAACCGGATTTCTGTCTTCTTTAGTGCTTGTATGTACTGTTTATTTGACAGTCAGGTTATTTATAAAATAATTACAACAGATGTTTAAAGAATCGTGAAATTCTGCAGTGCAAATAATGTATACATTTTAAGTCTGTAATACTGAATATAGATATCACCTAAACATCATTATTATATTGTCTCCTGGCCCATGGCTTATGTACGAAGGTACTTCCTTCTAATAAGGTGAATAGGGTCTAGTAGTTTTATAATTATGTAAATCTGATCATTTAAAAATCTTGACCATTTAATGGCACAAAAAATGGTGAGTTAGTGCCATTTAATTTTGTTTAATTTCCTCTTGATTTGAGACATTTATGAAGGATTTCTAATGAACATTAGACATGTTTGTTGTCATCTGTATGTCTTAACTTGACATTTTTTTATAATTATTGAACAACTTTGTATAAGATGTACATATTGTCTTCTTCTGTAATATAAACAATTGGAAATGCTTATATTTTAGTGAGGCCTAATTGAGAGGTTGAACAGGATGTTAAGGTTTTATGTATTGTACAACAAAAATTATTTCAACAAATGTCTACAGATAAAAGATAATAATACAAAAACTTTGTTTTTGATTTTCTTTGTCAGACAACAATACAATATTGAAAGACAATTAAGTTTCAAATACATTCATAAGAGAAATAGACAGGGTTGTAGCTAGGATGATTTGAGTGGTGGGAGGTAAAAACCAGTCTAAGCCCATAGATGCATGTACCTGTGGCTGCTGCCATCATACCATACCCCATTTGGCCAGTCAAAGAAAAAGTTATTTTCATGTTTATAATTCTAATGTGTATGTTGTAATAAAGTGAATACAAAATATTCTACCTTTACTTCAACTTCTCTGTCTTTTTCTACCCAGAGCTTCTTAGCTTTTACGTATGGGAATGATTCTAGTGTGATGCGTACTCTGGCTAAAGTTGAAAGTTGGGGTCAATGTTACTGTACGTGCTTCTCTTCACAGTCCCAGAGCTTCGTAGCTTTTACATATGGGAATAATTCTAGTGTGATGCGTATTCTGGCTAAGGTTGAAAGTTGAGGGAACGTGTTACTGTACGTGCTTCTCTTCACAGTCCCAGAGCTTCGTAGCTTTTACGTATGGGAATGATTCTAGTGTGATGCGTACTCTGGCTAAAGTTGAAAGTTGGGGGTCAATGTTACTGTACGTGCTTCTCTTCACAGTCCCAGAGCTTCGTAGCTTTTACATATGGGAATGATTCTTGTGTGATGCGTACTCTGGCTAAAGTTGAAAGTTGAGGGAATGTGTTACTGTACGTGCTTCTCTTCACAGTCCCAGAGCTTCGTAGCTTTTACATATGAGAATGATTCTTGTGTGATGCGTACTCTGGCTAAAGTTGAAAGTTGAGGGAACGTGTTACTGTACGTGCTTCTCTTCACAGTCCCAGAGCTTCGTAGCTTTTACGTATGAGAATGATTCTTGTGTGATGCGTATTCTGGCTAAGGTTGAAAGTTGAGGGAACATGTTACTGCATGTGTTTCTCTTCATAGTTAGCTTATTCAACATCACCTCTGGTTCACAACGGTTGCTTGGTGATGCCTTAGCGTAGTGCAGAAAGTCTTATAATTCCGCTAGGGTTTTTTTTTCCTGTGTGAGAGCAAGGTGTTCAACCAATTCACACAAAGCAGGCTGAGGTACATCCATGGGGTAGGTTTTACATAGTTTGAAAGATTAAACACATTACTGAAAGCAGCCACGATATCTTCGTCACCAAATCTCACATCTAAGTTGTTGACCAATTTGTCAATGGATAGCATTGTTGTGTTCTTGGTGAACTGTTCACAGTTCAATATCATTTTGGAAACAATTCTTGTATTTCAACAAGATTCTGTTGGCTTTTAATTTATCAGTAGTATTATTCATTACTGTTATCATGTCTGTGTTGTTCTCTTTTAAAGAAGCTGCTTTAACTGTCAGAGAAATTCTGACTGTGGTAAAGTCAAGATATGACTTCTGAAATGTCTCACTCAGCCTATTGACAGCTTGTAAGACATTGCAGAGATGAAATGTGGCTATAAATTCAAATTTTATCATGAGATGGAACAAACCAGTTGTCTTGATGTCACTGTGCTCCTCAATTTCATGCTCAAGGCTGATGAGGACACTGGTCAGGATGTTCTTGGGCTTGATTGTGCATTGTCCAAGAGCAGGCCATCTCATTTCAGCAGGATTGGTGACCTAGCCACTTACTTTTAGTGTTTCAGGCAATTATTTCTCTCCTGCTGAAAATCCTTTCTCCCAAACAGTGCTGCTGTGATAGAAAGCATACATCTGTCATTACACTCTTGAAATTGGGAATGACAACAAATTGAATGCTTGCATGGGAAGCTGCCAGGTTAAGTTTATGTGCTGCTCAGTGGTGACTGATTGCTCTTATGTTGGTCTTTTGTTTTTGAATTTGTCTGTCCATTATTTTCTTTACTGCTCTATTTATTCTTTCTGTCATGACTGTTGTCCTATCTGTCACGGTTCCATGGAGTTTTTCATACTACAGTTCAGTGTTTTCAGTGTAGTCTGTTACTTTTTTGATGAGGGTATTGGCATTTAGAGTAATGACCTGCTCATTAGTTCACTGTTTTCTGATCATTCACTTGTGACACCCATATATATATACACGAATATGTCAGTTTCAATTACTTCACTCAAACATTCTAGAAATTCCTTGATGTGTATATTGCATTATTTCTTTTGCAAACATCTCCTAACATCTCCTTTTATGCAAATTCCCAACAGCTTTTCTAAATCAAGTAACTTTTCATAATTCATGGTGTGATAAATCTTAGTCTTGCATAAAAAATATAGACACTGGAAAGCTTTAACCATTGCATCCTTGCTTATTTGTTGTTGTTTCATTATTAAATCATCAACTTTCCTAAATACTTCAAATATGATAACTCTGCACTCACCAAATCATTTTAAACAAACCATATACTGTTTACTAACATTCTAAACAAACCATATACTGTTTACTAATATTCTAAACAAAAATATACTGTTTACTAACATTCTAAACAAACCATGTAGTATTTACTAACATTTTAAACAAACCATATACTGTTTACTAACATTTTAAACAAACCATATACTGTTTACTAACATTCTGAACAAACCATATACTGTTTACTAACATTATAAACAAGTCATGTAGTGTTTACTAACATTCTAAACAAAAAATATACTGTTTACTAACATTCTAAACAAACCATGTAGTATTTACTAACATTTTAAACAAACCATATACTGTTTACTAACATTTTAAACAAACCATATACTGTTTACTAACATTCTAAACAAACCATATACTGTTTACTAATATTCTAAACAAACCATATACTGTTTACTAACATTCTAAACAAACCATATACTGTTTACTAACATTCTAAACAAACCAGGAACTGTTTACTAACATTCTAAACAAACCATGTAGTGTTTACTAACATTCTAAACAAACCATGTAGTGTTTACTAACATTCTAAACAAACCATATACTGTTTACTAACATTCTAAACAAACCAGGAACTGTTTACTAACATTCTAAACAAACCATGTAGTGTTTACTAACATTCTAAACAAACCATGTAGATGTAGTATACAAATCACTAACAACAATCAGAATTATTAAAGAAACAAAAACAAACTTGAGTATTTTTCAGAATGTGCACAAGCCCATTGGAATATAGAATATGAAGATGTCTAACATGAACTTTTGTAAAGGATACAACTTAACTTCAGTCTTCTAACTCAACAGTACAAGAAGTTAGGAAAAAGAAAATGTAACTCTACACCTGATCACAAATCTACTTAATTTCTATTATACTTTTATTTGCTATCCCAAGATGAGATCACAATTCAATATGGGATGATTATTAGCTATTGTCAGAATATTTGATCAACTTATTTACGTACGACCATACTTACCATGACGAAGATCTCAGTTCCACCCAGTGTCTGTCAGGGTGTGAGCTAGCATCATGCTTTAAAAACTCAAGAGACAGTTCAAGTAAGTGACAGAGGTAAACATATGTAAAATCCAAACTTCACAACAGTGACAGAGGTAAACATGTGTAAAATCTTCACAATATTGTCTTGTTTTCATTATTCGTGATACCATTCTTTATGCTTGCATTGAAAGGTTTAAATGATGTTTTATGTTACATCTTTTTTATTTTATTAGAATGTTATTTTTGTATTTACTGGAGAGGAATAACATTTAAAAACAAATTAGAGACCATAACTTGAAATGTATAGTTACAAAATAGTGCCTAAAAGTATATTGAATAGTAATTAACACAGTGTAATTTTTCCTAAAACATTTATACTGAAAATTTAAATGTTCACGATTTTATTGATTATTATACATTCGGTATTCACTTTGTTTCTTTCGATTTTTCCGACAGTTTTATAAATGGAGAAAATCAGTGTTAGAGAATAAGTGAAGATGTCAAATGTGATTTTTTTTTAAATAAATAATTGTGATAGAAATTTCTAAAATTATCACTTGTGCTTGTTATAAAGAAAGACGTGATATTTTTATTAAACTTCTATTGTTAGTTTATATTTGTTTGCATACAAGTTTATTAATCATTATTGGTTGAAAGTAAGTCCAGTTTCACAATTTATCTTCCTATAAACAGCTACCAAGCTTCAACTTAGTTTGTAATGTAAGGTTAGAAGATTATAAACTTATCAAAACTTAACCTTTTTCTCTTGAAAGCATCACTTGGTGAAAGGAAAATATCACGGCTATTTAAGAAGTCTTTAATATATTGCCCTCAAACCAGAAAGTATCTAGAAATATAGACTAAACATTATCCCAAATGTGGATGACAAGTATTTTAAAATTACAAAAGAGAGCTGTGTACCCTAGCGGCAAGTCTGTGGACTTACGATGCTACTTGTACTCTTGTTGGACACGGCACAGATAACTAGCTCATGGTGTAGCTTTGTGCTTAACTACAAACAAGCAAAAGAGAGTTGAGACCATTCACTTACGTCCTATTGTAGCCAAAAACGTAGAATTACTTTTATAGCATTTCAGATATCGTTTACTATTTTCTGTGGCCTCACGTTCAAAAGGTGATTATGATAAGCGATGCTAATTTTGGAATTAAAAAAATGTGAAATTCCATAAGAAAATCTTGTAAGAAGGTTATTATGGGATTTCCTATGGATAATATATTAACATAAATTATTCAAACAAGATGATAAGTAGCAGGCAGCAGAGTTTCACCTAAAAAAGCAAGAAATGTTTTTAATAAGATAGTTAATCTTTCTGAGATATGCTGTCTTACATCTTCATCAGGACTGGATTCTTCTTCTCAGACTGAAGACAAAACAATTTTTAAAGATATGCTGTCATACATATTCATCAGGACTGGATTCTTCTCAGACTGAAGAGAAAACAGTTTTTACAAGATATGTTGTCTTACATATTCATCAGGACTGGATTCTTCTTAGACTGAAGCCAAAACAGTTTTTACAAGATATGCTGTCTTACATATTCATCAGGACTGGATTCTTCTTCTTAGACAGATATGATAAAAC